CAAAGGACAAGCGGAAACTTGACCCAAACCCTGATTGACTCTATGCCATATATTGGTACTGTTGTTGTACAAATATTACTATTTGCCTTTACACCACAGCTGAAACTAAACTTCTACTAGTTAAGTCCCTCTGTTAGCTAGTGCTGAAATCCTTGTTCTGGTCCCCAGCTTTGTACCAGGATTTGAGTATGCACAATGGTTGGTTTGTCTGAAAAAAGCATTGTTTGAATGCGTAATAAGGTTAGAGGAACATTCTGAGAGGGACTTTCGGTAATTTGTCAAGTCAATTAGGAGCCTAGAGCAAGGATCTTGGCGCTGCTTTGCAGGCATTACTTACATGGGTTAGATAACATCTGCAGGCTATATTACTATAAAAAAAATTTCACAGTTATTAAATTGTGCTGGATAATGATCACTGCTTTAATTTTTAAATTTTACTCTTAAAAAATGAAGTTCTTGTTTGGGTGTGTAGAAACATGTTGAATTTGTTTTCTTTCAGGACATATTCAAATAAGCCAAGTCCCATCTCGTAATGAACCAGATTCTGATGGTGAAATAAACTACCCCTACATATTCCATCAGATCGCAAAATTAGGCTACAAAGGTTGGATAGGCTGCGAATATCATCCAAGAGGTAAATTTCTCAGTTAATTTAAGATGAAATTTAAGGGTACTTTTGTTATTATTGTAAGCTCTGTGGGTATATATGTACGTAGTAAAAACTATCCATAAAAAATCTACTAGAATCTCATTCTGGTGGTTATATTATTTTATTTTCCATTACTTTTTTTCTTAAACAACAAATTACATGTTTTCCTCACTGAGCAAGTTTATAATTATTTTTGTCCAAATTTGCATCACGGGTGGAACCTGCATGGATTGCACAGCAAGGCAGAAACACAAGTCGGCTTTATATATATTTATTTAGTAAAATCCAACTAGTGGTCTATTATCAATGCTACATTCTGATTGATTGAGCTACTACTAGGCTATATGTTATAGCCCACTAGTAGCAAAAAGCGCGGGCTTTAAAAAAGGGTTAAAGTCTAGCTTTAACATTTCTTTAACATTTAGGACAAAATAATGATCATTAGTTTGAGTTGTGGGTACCAGTAGGTATTTATCTTTCCTAGTTTTGTTTTTGTGATGATAAATTTCTTATGTTTTTTTTTTGTTGTCTTAGGACGGACTCTTGATGGTTTAGGATGGCTGGCACCTTATCTTATTGATTAAGAAATTGTTCCAGTGCACCCTTGTGTGTCCTTATTTTATGCAAATCTCATCTTCTGTCAAGTTGAAGACTACACCGTCTGGACTGGCACGAAGTATCAATATTCAGCCATTGAGGATAGGTGAAACCTTCTGCAAAAGTAGCTTGCTGAAGGAAGGTTGAGAAATATTAACAAATTTATAAAACTTTGAGTACACTAAAACCAGTGTACAACAATCTATTATAAAGGACCCTGGGGCGTACCGGAGGTTTTTTCTCCTTTTCGCATGGTTCACTATAAAGAGTTGAATGAAAACCCACAAATGAAAAGTTTCTGGCTTCCCAGGTATGGATTGACCCTCATCTTTTAACCAAAACAAATTCTCCTTGGAACACCTGCTACATACATGTAAGCTATCAAAAAGCTCTCGTAGTGTCAGAAGAAAAAAAAAATTATGTACACTACATAAATTAACAAAAGGATTATATTATGCTTACTGGGTATATGAAGCATGATTTATATTATAGAAAAGTCATATAAATAGTGTTCAAGTTTATTATAATAACTGTGGATGAGATCATGGCCATATTTATTTTATTCTCTTCTAAGTGGCAGATTTGTCTCATCCAAAAATGAGAATTATTTATTATAAGAGCCTAAAATTAATAGCCTACATCATTGGGATGAGACCATTTGAGGCTTAGGTGGAAAAATGTAGGTGCCTTTAATTATGCTGGATTTTTACTGTAGTGTATGTTTTAGGAAGGTAGCTGTGTCATAGACTTGTTAGCCTGCATCACAGACATCATTTAACCCTGGTTAGTAACATCTGCGAAGCAGCACTGACATCCTTGTTGTGGGTAGCCTGAGATCATGCCCTCTCCCTATTATCCCTTTATGTCTCTCCTCTCGAGCCAAAGAAACAAAGAAGCAAAAAAATAATAATAATAACGCCTGATCTCAGGTTATGTTGTGGGCCCCTGACAGACTCAACAAATTACTGGAAGTGCATTTCGAATTTCCTGTCTTCCTAATGGGCAAATCCACAATAGCTTTTTTAACAAGCCAATCATGACATGTACTTAAATCCTGGTACACATTTGAAGGCCCAGAACAAAGATTTCGGCACTGTTTCGCAGATAGACCTAACCATCCAGAGTTAAGTTTTGTCTGTGGCACAGGCTATAGAGTCATCTGCAAAGAAAGAGTTGACCAAATGAATAGAAAATAAAATTATCTGGATGATACTGCATCTGTAGGGTGTTATGGTCAAGTCTGAATTGGCAGTACATCACTGAAAAGTTTTGCACAATCAGTACCTTTAGGTACAGTTATATTGTTATTGTAGTTATATCCCAAGGGGGTACTCTGGATTTTAAGTGATGGGGATGTTTGAGGGATTTTTTTGGGTTTGCAATTTTCGATTCAGGGATTTTTTTGGGAAGGAAAATTTGGCAAGTATTTTATTAGGTGGCTTGATTTAAGTAGGGTCCTTTGGGGGGTGTTCATTTAACAATCTGAACATTCGTGATAGTGCCCACATATCCTGGCTGCATAGTTCTGCAAAATTAATAAAGTACAACCAAGTAAAGTACAAGGTGTAGGTGTTTTTAAAATTATTTATGCTTCCTGGGCATTTTTAAGGCTCACAAATTCACCATGGGATTTTTTGTGGTTAATTTTTGGTCCAGCAATTTTTTTCGGTTCTGTTGGAAGCCCTAGGGATTTTTGGGGGTTTCAATTTTTGCCCCCATTCAGTCATCCCTGTCACTTGAAATCCAGAGTACCCCCCTGGGGTTATGTTGTTTTTGTTTGTTTTTATTTTTCAATTTTAATACCAAAATCTGAGAATTGAATTATTATAGGTGACTACCAAAAAATTATGAACAAAGTTGATCAATAATGGTTGTTTTTATTTTTCAATTTACCAAAATCTATGAATTGAAATATTATAGGTGACCAAACAATTCTGAACAAAGTGGATCAAGAATGTGAAAAAAAAAGTCACACAATGTTGTTGTGGCCGTACTTGTTCAATGCAAAGTAAATTACACATACAATGGTTTGAGGACCATCTATTATTAATAAGTTATCCCGCTTAAGAGTAAAATATTATGTTTATTTAAGAAATAAATAGTGTCTTCAGAGCAGATGTGTTTAATAACAGGCTTTTACTGTCAAGCCTTGTTTAAAAGCTAAAAACTGTACAAAATCTTATTTCTGGGCTGTTTCAAGTATGATAATTATTCTTATAATGAGGAGTTATTGTTTGTCTCGCAATGTTCCAGATTTTAATCAAAATTAACACTAAATAATAATACAATCTACATATTATTATGCCTGTCACGATAAAAAACACTTCCATAATAAAGTTATGCATTACACTTGCATGTATGCTAAAGACGTTAAAGTCATCAAGACGCATTTAACGTCTGAGACTTCAAAGTCGACTGGTGTAAAAAGAGATTTTTCTTAAAAAAGGCAAAGTACTTACTCTTCCCAGTCATTTCTGGATGAGTTGGACATAAATGCATCCCAGTTTGCTAGACGCATTTAATGTCTGAGACTTAAAAGTCGTCGTTAAGTGCATCTGAACGATGCACTAATAAGAAGAAGTGAAAGTTGTCAGATTTTAAATGCGTCTGTCTTACTTACCATTTTTAAACTATACATTAAAGAGGTCTTAGGACGGCTTTAACGTCTCAGATGAGTTTAATGTCTCTAGTGTAAAAGCAGCCATAAGCAAAATTGCAGCAAATAATCATGACAGATGCAAAGCTTTCCATCGTGATTATAATAAAATGGTTTTAAATTCAACTGTAATATTAAGTGAATGAGCCAAAAGAAGAGTAATAAAGAAAGGGAGCTCTAGCTGCCACATTCTTTTTAGCAGTGAAAATTTCACCACCAAAAGTAAATTTACATTCTTAAATAATTGCATGCCCATTGAAATATGCCAAGGTTTTCTGGGGTTGAATTTTTAGGAACTACATCAAAGTTCAGAACTTGGACGAAGAAAAATTTTTTTGGTGTCTGTTCAAGTTCTCCACAACAGTTTGCTAAGGAGATTAATTTTCATGTATAGCTATGAAGGGGACAGCAAATAAATGTATCTTTTTCAACAATGATGGACAAGAAGAGTAGTGATGTTTTACTTAAATGCATATTTATTATCTTGCCATGGCCATCACAGTTCTTTAAACTCACTAAAAATGTCACTCAAAAAAGACCATCTAACAATTTTCAACCCTGCTTCTGTCAGTGGAATTGACCACCTAAGAGTATTACCACCTCCCTTGGCCAGAATACAGGTCCATCTTAGAGATATTCACAGCATCACAACAATACTTTTTGCCAGCACCTAATAATAATTCATGTCTGGATAGAGGGAGGTAGTGTTGCACAAAGTTTGTTGTCTACGAAAAAAACGCCATAAATAGTCAAGGCTCAAACTGGCGACCTTATGATCTGAAATTTTACATTGCACTAATCACCGTCACTCAAAAAACACAGGCGGAATTTCGGGACTTTTCAATTTTGAGAACTTTTTTTTTGACACACCAATTCTCAAAAATGTCCTTCCAGACAGCTTAATTAGGGTGCAAATAACTCTCCAACACAACTGTACAGGAAACCTATGAATGATGAGCTACTAAGTGAACTGAATATTGCCTGAAATCTTATGGTACTTGTATTTTTGAAAGATCAGCCCAGCCCGCAAATGTACATGAATGAGCTGGTATCAGTGCCTCAAACATTCAACAGTGCATACTGTCTCTCAGTCTCTTCTCACTGCCATGCCTGTCGGAGCATTTTAATTGATGCTAGTCTCTGAGAGACAATAGTCACAAGGACTAAGATTCCAAGGGTGCCAAGAATGAACCAGTAATCAAAATCGTCTTTGAGTACATCAAACATCTTAGATGGTGTGACCCTGGTCCAGTAAAGATCCAACCCATGTGCAAATACTAGACATGTTGATTCCAGGCCTGATCCCGCAGTGTAGATACCATCAATGTTGGCAACTAACAGTAAGAAGCAATAGAACAAAAATACACATTATTCAGATATTTAATATATGGTTAAGGAAAAAAAAGTAATCACACATTCTGGTCTAAATAGGGTCAAAAGTCCTTTAACAGGCAAGTTGTACATCACTTGTAAAACTTCTTAATACTCCCACCTCCTGCGGTATGCACATGTGGGGGAATGAATGGATGTACAAAAAATGTGCAACTTTAATGTTTTACGTACCAGTTTGGTTGTAGTTAATAAATGCCAAGGGATTTAGCATCAGTTCTGGAATATATGGATGGAGTCCTTCTTCACGGTCTTCTGCTGTTGACACAAATTTTCTGCGTGGGTCCAGGTAGTTTTTAGGCAGACTGAGAATGTAACCAGTTTGTAAACCGAAAAGCAGGTTCTTGTGGGTAATTCCTCTTTCTGTTATGGTGACTGATGCAGTACGGATAGTCGTGGGAAAGATGTAGGACTGTTGTAAGACTAAAGGCATGGGCGGAGGTTCAAATGATGACAAGGCAGAGCTGAAATGAGATAACCAAATTTTCTCAGGTAGGTATAAGGACAGTGTTCCAGATAACAGACAGGTCTCAGGTCAATGACAAAAAAAGCTTCCTGACCTGACAGATGACATAAAAGTGTTAAGGTAAAAAACCAAAAATAGACAAAAATAGCATGTGGCCTTGGCAACCCCTCAGATGGTCTACATGACCCGCCACTTGAAAGAATTAACTGGAACACTGTATTAGGAGCTTTACAGCTCCCTCTTTTATTAAAAGTAAAAGTTGACTCCACAAGTCTTTCTAAAGCAATGTCCTACACAGCAATACTTAAGGGGACATGGGTGAGGGGAGGTAGTGTTATGAGCAGTTTTAGATGATGTAGGTGGTCTGGCTGGACCTCTTTAATACTTGATCAGCTCATCCAACTGAGCTAAACAGACACGTTTATAAGCTTTTTTGAGAGAAAAAGAGAAAAACAACATGGGCTAGGAACATTCAGGATTTAACAATGTTTTTATAGGACACCTTCTGGATTGTAAGAAGACAAAATGGGGAGCATGGGTGGCTTATAATGACAGCACTTGCCTCCGACCAATGTGGCTGGGGTTCGAATTTATCGCGGCACCAAGACTTCCTACATGTAATCCCAATTGGACCAGAAATCAGGAAGACAAAGAACCATTAAGTGGATGTGCCACCTCTAAATCGTTATTGAATTATTGTTTTGTTTAGAATGGCTGCTGTGTAAATTATGTGAGTATATTGACCAAAATTGTACCTGTTTCTTTCTGTGTAACCATCATACAGTTCTAAAACTGTGAGTTCATATCGGCGAGACTTGGTGTTGTACAAACAGTAAACAAGCCAGTTCTCAGAGTGCACCATGTGAAAAGGTCCTTTGGCATTCTTATGACGTGTATGGAATATGACCAACCCTGATAAAAATAACAGAAATAATAATAATAATAGAAGATCAGCAAGCTTGTTCTCCACAACGCTGTTTTCAATAAAATTCTATAAAAAAANTAGGAACATTCAGGATTTAACAATGTTTTTATAGGACACCTTCTGGATTGTAAGAAGACAAAATGGGGAGCATGGGTGGCTTATAATGACAGCACTTGCCTCCGACCAATGTGGCTGGGGTTCGAATTTATCGCGGCACCAAGACTTCCTACATGTAATCCCAATTGGACCAGAAATCAGGAAGACAAAGAACCATTAAGTGGATGTGCCACCTCTAAATCGTTATTGAATTATTGTTTTGTTTAGAATGGCTGCTGTGTAAATTATGTGAGTATATTGACCAAAATTGTACCTGTTTCTTTCTGTGTAACCATCATACAGTTCTAAAACTGTGAGTTCATATCGGCGAGACTTGGTGTTGTACAAACAGTAAACAAGCCAGTTCTCAGAGTGCACCATGTGAAAAGGTCCTTTGGCATTCTTATGACGTGTATGGAATATGACCAACCCTGATAAAAATAACAGAAATAATAATAATAATAGAAGATCAGCAAGCTTGTTCTCCACAACGCTGTTTTCAATAAAATTCTATAAAAAAAAATACTGATAAGGAAATTTTGCTCAAAAATTAAGATCTATCTTCTTATTCTTTTACTCTTTTAAAATTTTTCTTTCACTGTTAAGACCCTCACTGTTTGGATTGTGATATTGTTTGCATCTAGGCACAGCCACATCACAAAATAATAATCTGGTTTCAAACATCAAGTTTTTGTAATAGTTGAAGTTTGATAGGCAGGCACGTAGGTACGCACAGTTTTCCGAATCAGCCTACACTGTAGCTCCTTTTTCAAACCATCTTCCTGCTGAAAATAGCCTGTTTATACAAGGTACGTGAGCCAGCCCAGTTAATTCCGCTGGCCCTCTTTACCGCGCTGGCTTGAGCAACAGTGATCTCAGCAAGGGGGCCAGCCTGCCTTCTCATACAAACATAATGACAATTTTAAGAGGAAACAATGCATGAGCCGAGCCAGCCCGGCTAACTAGGCTGGTTCATCTCATATAAACAGTTCCTGGGCTAGTCACCCATGTTATATTGAAAGTTACTGTTTAGGGCACCACTCCCTCAGTATGTGAGCATACCTTTTTAATACTGATTAAAAAACAAACCTGTTACTGCATCCATGAGATAGATTGATATACCAGGTTTTGTATCAGGGGTTACTTCAGCTGCCACAGCTACCAGGTTTGGGTTCAAGTATTTATAAAGAACTCTTCTATCTCCAAGAACTTTTCCTTGTGAATGTACATGTTCCAATGGGTTCTTAGTTGCTAGAAAATAACAGTAACTTGTAAGATACATCAGAGAAGAAGGTGACTATGGATACACTTTTCCTCATTAAGAATAATATTAAATGAATTATATGAATATTTTTTATTGTGAATGTAATAATTCATGGCACAGGGCCCTATCATGCAGGTGTGATGAGGTTCTTGTGCAACTTAAAGTATTGGGATTAGGGTTGGGTTTCAAGCTACAGGACCTTTAGTCACACATCATCGTTAGCTGTTGTTTGTTGGAAGTGAGGTTACAGCAATCAGTCCAGCATTAACTTCTCTGCCAGTAGGTGGGTAGTAACTGAGTTTCAACCCCTTCAATGACATTCAAGGTTCAATGTTATCAAATGAATGAGAGAAGAAATTTTACAGGTGGCTCCACGACTGGGCAAACTGTGGTGAATCCTAAGTTTTTGTCTCGATCCATAAAAATGCGTACACTGTAAGTTAAAAATGATTTGGCCTATATCCAGCCATCTTGACCTCATGCCTGGTCAATAACCCCTATGTATTTGCAAACTTGCTAACTGGCTGTCCTCTTGTTACCTATACTACTGATGGTCTGTGATGAGCGAGGAATGTTCACATTCCACATCTCTCTGACATGAAATCCACTTTTCCCAGCATCAGACAATAGCATGTAACCTCTTATGTCACCCTTCTCTTTATCGGCTAGGAAAAAGAAAATTGATGAGGCTGCCTTGGATACAATTTCTTTTGCTTCAGAGGTGCGAGGAAACACGTGAACATCCAGGGATGAATCAAGAAGAAGAAGCAGCTTTGTGTGCTTGGCATCTGTAAAGTAATGTAATAATTGGATAAGTGGTTCACCAAAGCAATATCAGAACACATTAATTAACAACAAATGAAAGAAATTATTTTTATTCACCATCAGAATATTACTGCTATTTTGCGGGATAATCAAGTACCGGTAGTTAAATAGATCTGGTCAGTTTTTTTCAAGTAGTCTGTAGCCAACATATTTAATTCATAATTTACCCCTTTCTCTTTCAGAGTGAAAGATAGAGTCTTTTAAAGTTGGTTCTTGCTTTTGAGTTTGTGGACAAAACCCTGCAGTGTTAAACCATTCACATGAAACCGTCTTGGAGGCACTTTCTTGTGGTACCATTTTTCAGCCTCTTAGAAGACGAAATTTCCTAATTACATCTAATTTTGACTTTGGCCACTCCTTGAAGTGAAAACAAAAAGGCAACTTGTTAAAGGAGCTGTGTCACGAAATTCAGCCAAATTAGGAAATTACAAAATGCCTGTTAAATTAAGAGAAACATAAAAATAACCGCTTAAAACTTTAAAGGAAGGTTAAAATAACATAACAGAAAAAACAGATGCCACGGATGGGCAAAACTGAAGAAGATTGAAATGGATTGACATCAGGGTTTTTGAAAACTGTTCAGCCTAACAGTTTTTCAAAGTTGATCCCTGCTGCTTGCAACTTCAAAAATAATGCTCAGGAGACATATTTGTTT